AGTGCCATCTAGTTCCTTTATATTCGAGAGAATGCAGAAATCTCTACGACCGATATGTCCAACACTCAGCAACTCACAACAAAACAATCTAGATTAATAAACAGCACTACATCTAAGAGGAATAACGGATATATTTTTGATTTTTGGGGTGGACTGCCCCTTTAAACATGTTATATGTGGAACATCTCCCACATGCAACCACCACAAAAGACACCAATATGTCTGATTTACGTTGTCCCACCTTTAAAAGCTCGTACCTGACTGAAAAAATCTATTTAAATCTATTCAAAGAAGTCCATGCTCTCTTAAAACACAGTGAATATTTCTCTGTTAAATGATAAAACCGTAACACAGTCCCTTGGACCAATACAAACCAATGAGGTCCAATCCCATGGATCTTTCTCAGAAGGGATTATGAGTTCTTCAGTACCTCCATATTTTGGTATGTTACGTTCAGTCATTCACAAAGTCAATTGCTCTTACAGCTTTTCCTCCAGGAAATGGTTTAGCCCAGGTGGTAAGCCACCCAGATTCACACATATCGCATCTTGTGATCCATTTAGATTGGAGATTACATCCTAAACAGCAGTTAGGCTCACGTTAGCATTTGGGGCGCCCAGCAGCTTAGTAGATAGGACGGCCACCTCATGCACAAATGCAATGTCCTTGCAGCAGCGGCTGCATGTTGTCCCCTCTGTCTCTCCCCGTTAATGCTTTAAAACTGTCCTGTCATTAAAGGCGAAAAAGCCCCAAAAATAATCTTAAAAAATAAATAAATTATAAAGCATTGACTGTGTGTGAAAAAGTGTCTCGGCTTATTAGAATTACTAATTGGAGATACCTATTGTAGTTAGTTTACAACAAAAAAGACAATGTCAGGTGAGATGTACTCCAACTGTTCAACAGGGATTTCCCCAAGCTGTCCCGCTGTTTACATTGAACCACGGGGGAATCCTTTGTTGTGTGCTTTTGAGTGAGGCCTTCGTGAGACAGAAAACAGATTGGCTATAAAGGGATTTGGCACATCCTCATCGATGTTGACAATGTAAATGTGAACATCCGCAGAGACTTCCCTGTGAACAGGGGCCTGTTTGTTTACACAAGTGGGTGCATTTACCCTCAGGTTGTTGCCGTAATGAGGTGGAGGAAGACTTGGTGGCATTTCAGTTGCCTCATTTGTGCCCACATGTTTACTATTTTGGGAGAGGAAGAGCTGTCTGTTGGTTCTTTGGTGCAATCCACCTTTACATACATGTAATATGTCAGTCTAAACATATATTTTCTGGCCTTATTCCAGCGGTGGAGGCTACACAGTGTGAAGGATAATTAGGATAGAGGCTGATTGGAGCTGGGGGGTATAAACATCTGGGCCTGAGGCAGATCCCCTCCACCTCCCCCCACTCTATAACTCCCACAACACATAATACAGACAGACAGGCTCTCCCCTCTTATAATAACAACTGCCCTTTAAAACAGGGAGCTGTTAAACAGTGGACTTTGTGACTACACACACACACAGGAATGAGGACACACTTGTTAGGCTCTGACGTCTGTTCCCATTCATACACTGACTTCAAACCTGTCTGGAGGTATGTCTGTTTTTTAGTTTCAATGACACAAGCACATAGACACACTGAAAACGCCACACTGAGGACACACCGGCAGTATTTTTAACGCTGCAGAGGTGTCAGGAGGTATATGGGTATCCTCAGATTTAGGAGGAAATAAATCACATGCACTCATACTCAAGAGCAGACAGGTTAAGCTCCTGCTGGTTCCATTTATACTCCGTCTTTAAACACTGTCTCAAGGTGTTTTAAAGGATTGTTCTCTTAATTTATAAGAGACGGGCAATCCAACATTCACGTCCACTTCACGCTGTGATTGGCCAGCTGTGTGGAGGTGAGAAAGGAAGCCGCTAATATTCCCGTTTACATGTAATTCACGACTGTGTTTGACAAGTCGATGCCCTAATATGTCATTTATCACGTCAAAATATGGAAAAGAAGAATATCTTGAGGTGCTTGTGTCATTTTGTTTCTTTGCTACTGCTGGCAGACTTGCTCAGCTGTGCAAATACAGTCTCCCTCTTTCACTCCTTCTACCTGTTAATAGCAAAGTCTCTCTTAATGTTTAAAAGTAGTAGTGTTTCTACTTCAGACCAGAGATGTGGGCTTTTCTTTTTGGCATGCATCTCTACCCTACAGCCTTGCAAACTGTTGACTAGTTGGTTTGTGTACAATGTATCCATGACAATGCACAAACCTAGGCATAAACAGACAAAGCGGCCGTGTCTCGCAAACTGTGGTAAAAACCCCAGTTGAGACGCATATTCCAAATGTGTTGTATTCATGTCCAAAGAATGCTCCTAAAACCAGAATAATATTGGCATATCACGTGTTAATAAGAAAACACTACATTGGGAATAAGGCTTAATTCTGAATATCCAAACAGAATATGCTGTTGACATGACCCGTATCAAATTCGGCATATTGTCATATTAGGAATCTTAGTGTGCATGTAACAGTAACCAGTGACTTTCTCAAAAGAACAAGAACAATATTATACGTCCCTCCTCTCAATGTCGGCCAGCTTGTCAATTTCCCTTCCAGTGTGGTATTTCTAAGCAGCTATACACACATTTGATTTCAGAAGTGGTCAGACATCACATTGTACAAATGAGTTCTGTTCGAGCATACTCCAACCCTTAATAGTTGAAATATCGAATAATTTCAGCATTATATCAAGGACTGAACACAAATGAGAAACATTCAACTAAGTAGGCCTATATCAAGGTAAAATGTAAGAAAGAACCCAAGACTGACATAATATTTGGAAGATACACCATTCGACCACTAATTCGAGAACCTGGAGGGAATTCTCATGGTAGAATCTGATTCGTCTCTTTCTTACACCAAAACTGAAATACAAGCATCTCCATTGTTGCTACAGATGCGAGAGTGCAAATCTTTAGATGTAGACCACTCTCATGTTTTTTTGGAAACATCAGAAAATAACTGTATTTTGGGAAATGGTATGTAAAGAGCTTAAGCACATACTAGGATATGAGGTTCCTCACAGTCGTTTGGTGCTTTATCTTTGTAAATTTTCTGAAGAAGATGTCTTTGCTCGTGATAGATATTTGATCAAAATATTGCTAGTAGCAAGCAAGAACACTATTGCTAGGACCTGGGGTAAAGAAACACCACCAACAAAGGACCACTGGCTAACACCTGTGGAAGAAATCTTCTTAATGGAGAAACTGCCACATACTGAGACTGCAAGAAGCGGAACTAGAAAGAAAGTGGGAGAAGTGGACTCTATACAAGACTCAAAATGTCAACACTGCACTGGAATAATAATCAGTAGATACACCAACTGCAAAAATGTCAATTTCACAAAAGCTGTTATAATAAAGATTTAAGTGAAAAAAAAAATAGTTAAAATATTAGTCAGAGGTTGAAGCACCAGTGATAGTGTCCCTTTAACTGAAGTGGTCTTGCCTGAAGGTTTTCTGTCCATCTCCTGATTTAAGAGCAGATTATTGATTTTAAAGACTGATTTATTATTGGCTTTTTACTCTGAATAACAGTGTCTTTGAGTGATTAAACATTTCCTGCAGTTTGCTATATGTCCAAGTCAGCATTCCTATGCTTTCAAGTGTTGATGTGAGGTCACGCACCCCATCTCCATCTGTCCTCCAGGGCTTTGTTGGCCATTTGTCTCAGTGTTTTTGTAGCTGACAGGGAGAAGTGATTGGAGAGTAAACAGAAACCTCTGCAGGGAGTAGTCGGATCTCCTAAAGTGATCCCGAGAAGCGTTTCTAGCACTTGATACCCATAACGTCATTTTCACATCAAATCAAATTAAACTTATAGCAGAAAGAAGGGAGTTCATTTGGTCAAAAGGTGAAAGGAATACAGGGATGCATTACAAGAACACACACAGTCCATACAAGGAACAAAGGAAATGCTGCTACTTTCTCTCTGAGGTCAGAAAATTACTTTCCTGCTTGAATGTTAGCCAATTTTATAATGAAATGAAACATTTTTAAATGCAAGAAGCTATCAATTTTTTTGTGATTTATTTTTTTTCCCTTGCATGTTTTTGGGGACAAATTAGTTCTTCTCATGCTGTTCCCTCCAAAATCTCTGATGTCTGATTTAATTTGCTTCTTGACTTGACGCAGACGCAGGAATGTGACAGCATTTTTTAAAGCTCATTGTACATATGGGAAAGCACCTAGAGAGAGGAAGTCCAGGAGGAAGTAATCTTCTGTATGTCTGCATACATGCTGTATATGTTTGTGTGTGTGTTTCTGACTGAGGGTATGTAGGAAACAGACTTCAGTATCCGGCTATTTGTGCCCTGCCTTGATAAGAGAAGGTGTTTCCTCTGCTGCCTGCATGACTCCTTAGGACCCATTGTGTGGAAGCAGCAGGGATTTATTATTGGAAAGGGTATAATTAGGGTCCCTGGCTTGTCTGGAGGCAGTCTGGGAGAGAAAGGGGATGGAAATGGGGTTGAAGGGCTGTGTACAGCAGGATGGGTATACTGTAAACTGGGGGAGGGGTGTGTGTATGTTTGGAGGGGTAACACAAAGGATCTGGGTTAGATGTGGGCACCCCCCACTGTTCCAGCTGGACTGGGACTCACGCCACTGTCTGTCTATCCCACTATGACATCATCGCTGCATCCTGTGGTGGTACACAGGCATTCCCAGTATCCCCCACCCCCGGTCACTCAGATGGCACGATGACAGGATTTCCCCCTCAGGAGGACACAACAGCCCAGAGATACAGTACAACCATTTATTGTTCTGGACGATGAAGCAATTAGGGGACGTCATTCCTCTCTGCGATGAGTGATTTGAACGCTGCATTATAACACGTACAAAGCCTGACACAATCGATAGCTGTTTTTCATAGTAATGTATATAACTGCAGCTTTATGTTACTGCTTGCACTCACACCACCGTCTCTTTTGTCTTTCATGTGCAGCTGAAAAGGTGTCATCACTGGGAAAGGACTGGCACAAGTTGTGTCTCAAGTGTGACCGCTGCAACAAGCTCCTCAACGCTGGAGGCCACGCTGAGGTCAGTAAGACGCCACCAGTAACAGTACAACACTGTCCCTCTCACGGCTGAAATCTAAGGCATCTCAATCTTCTCTAGTGCTGTAACTAACTGCAGAGGAAAGTACATCTATTGAAGTTCTGTTCTGAGGCACTTTACTTCCATTTTATGCCTTTATACTTCTACTCCAACACATCTCAGAGGGAAATGTTGCACTTTCTACTCCACCACTGTTCATTTATGTCAAAGTTTTAGTTACTAGTTACTTACTAGATTAAAATTTTAACATGTATGATCAGTTTGTGAAATAGTATCCATTGTTAATTGTTATATTAAACTACCAAAAACTCACACCTGGTTTCACACCTGCTCTGTTTGGTTCGGTTCAATCAAACTCAAGTTCATTTGCCCCCTAAGTGCATTTCGTTTGGGCAGGTGTGAACTCAGCAATCACACTCAGGTGCGCACCCAAACAACCAGACCGAGACCCTCTTGAAGACGTGGTCTCAGTCCGGTTACAAACAAACTCTGGTGTGGTTCGTTTGTGGTGAGAACATGTTCCAACCTCAATCTGAACTAACTGCAGTCACATGACAGTGTTTGGGTTAAACATGAGCATGTCACAGTCCTGGAGGATTATTAATGTGCACCTCCTCCTGTACTGCCTTAATATGCACATTCAGCACATCCAATGCATCAAAACATTGTTTTCTAGTTGGAGCCTTGCCTCGTTTTCAAACTGTATGGTTTGACTAAAATGAACAATGACAGCAATATAGTCCACGATGAGCAGCGCTAAAATCAACCTGCGTAGTTGTCCCTCCTTTGTGACATTAGAAAGTGTCACATTTATCTTGCAAGTGTACTCTTCTTCAACGTCTTGTTTACTAATTACATGGAAATTCTGACCAATCAAGAGCAGCTTTCTCACACAAGGCATTTTATCTGGTCCGCTTGTAAATGCTGCCGTGAGAACACGAACCAATTCTAGGCAATTATACAACTTTGTAACAAAATTAGTCCCTGACTGAATGGTGAAATGTTAAAGGAAAAACAGGAGTAGAGAGAGATGCAGGTTTCATATCTGTAACTGGGGCAGTGACAGATAGGGACTCATTGTAGCCTGTATAGTAGCTGTGTTCACAGACCACGTCACTAACATCGCCTGGGGACGGAGTTCACTTCCCACTGAGGCCATTCATGCCAACATTATATGCACTCAGTGATGCTGTGAAGCACTGTGGCTAAAAGTGTCCACAAATGGCTCCTCTGAATTTACTTTATGGGCTTTCCTCTAGTAATGCAACTTCTATTTTAGGTTGTATGTTGTTTTTTCTGTATAAAATACTGGGTCAATCCTACAAACAACATGCCATTGATTCTTAACAGTTTATTGACTGTTGTGGTGAAATGTAACAAGGGAAAGCCAGTCCTGCCTGGTCATGAATGGACTTATTGACTAATTGACTCTACAGGGGATCCGCAGTGGAAAGTGCTAACAGAATGGTATGTTCATGGTTTGGGTGAACCATTGAACATTGACTTGTTTCAGTGGTTAAAACTAGGAGAAATTATAGTTCCGTACACAAGAACAGTGTGTCTGTTTTTATTGAAAATCTCTCAGTGATGTTGGGACTACATGCAGGGCTAGTCTGTGAACTACAGCAACTGCAAGCTAACCGCTAACACACAGGCCACCCATGAAGATTTTAACGTTAGTCAGTCACAATAGATGTTTGTAGCCTCTTGCTATTTTTACTTTACTGTGTCGTTTACTGCCCGATGTTTGGTTTCAGGACTGTGCATGAGGTCATTTAAATAAGGAGACCTTTATGTAAGAGGGAAATGTTTGTGCACCATCGACTACTGTTTCATTAATGTCTGTAAATTGATCCTGTTTTGGGGAAAATGTTTTACTCCAACAGAGAGGCTTCACTTAAAATCGACAATAGCTTCTTCCATTTTGGACTAATGGACACAATTAACTGATTCAAACTCCCGCCTCCCCTTAGTTACTGTTTCTAGAAACACAGCGACAGCGGTTCAATTTAGCTGGCTGCTGCAGTGTGTATTATATCAAATAATTTCCAGACATCAGGCAGTATAGCTCAAGAAGCCGACAGCAAGGATGAATAAAGTCACAATGGAATGCTTGACATTGTGTATATCCAAATAAAGATTCACTGTACTTCAAAATAAAGTGTTTTTTTTGTTTGGTCCATCCTGAATGGACCACACAAAAAAACCCACTTTATTTTGTGACCCACCAGTTGGGAACCACTGCTCTACACGGTCAGGGTTAGAGTGTTACTTTTACAAGTCGGAATTTGGTTTTCTTTTAAACATAGATGAGCCTCGCACATGGCATATCTAAGTGTAACAGTAAGGAGCACAGAGCAAAAAGGGGTGGGACTTAGGAAGAGTCAATTTAGACGGTTTGCTATTGGCCAGTGGTGGCAATCAATGTGTCAAACTTCAACAAAGTTGCCCTTTTTTAAAAGCTAGTGTGACCGGGCCTTCAGACTGGAAGAGGGCAAGTGTGTTTTTTATAAAGATATGAATTTATCTCATTTCACTTCATTTAACTTGTGTATTTTTGTACAGGAAGTTTCCGAGTGCCTGCTTTTTTCCTGCCTTTTCGTGTGTCTGGCAGCATCTGTCAATATGAGTAGACATTAACCCCTTAACGTTACAGAATGAGTTGCCTTTTTCCTCCATGTTGCATAATCACACTGCAGTATCACGTCTCAACATAAACAGAGATTTTCTTATCATGCCCCTTTGCTTTTACCTTTCATGACCCAGCCAACATATCAATTCTCACCCTCTGTCTCTGTGTGCATGGGTGAGTCTCCCGCTCCTTTCTCAACACAAAGAGGACGTGATCTCAGAGTCTTTGTACATAAATCAATTTCCCTGCAGACCCCAAAGGATGCTGCTCTGCTGTTTAATCTCTGCATGATTACAGTAATGTAGTCACACAATCTCTCTGAAGCCCTGCGCTCTCTCCCGGCCCACCATCCTCTCTGTCTCTCTCTCTATGGACAGTATCCAAATCCCGCCCCAGGCTGCAGCACCGTGCCACGAGCCTGACTTTAGTAGGCAAAAACTCAATACTCGATCATCGTCATGGAAACAGAGTGAGGCTGAGAGACATATAAAAAAATGAGACCATGTAAAGGGACTGTGGTTTTGTTGGGGAGGGTGTTTGATGTCATCTCAGTCCTGGTATGCAAAAGGTTATGACCCTCAGAGCAACACTGACTGCTTCTTTAAAAGGAGTCTGAGGCCACCGTGGCCTGCCGTCTGAGGGCCGAGTGAGGGCAGCAGCTTCCTGCAGCTGGTGGCAGAGAGCCAGGCTTTCAAAGACACAGTGACAAGTGTTGACCCTGAAACATCGGGATTGTATGTAACTGCAGACTGTCAGGAAATGTCTAGCTGTGTTCCAGTGACAAAAGTGGGTATTTTCTAACAGATATTGGTACATTTAGCTGTGTTTGTGGCGACAACTGATGGTATTTTAAGCCAAAACATGACCTTAACCAAGTGTTTTAATGCCTTAACTTAACCAGCCATTGACCACAGTGTTGGCACAACATAGCATTAATAATTAAACTGTAAAGACATTAAAAGGTTTTATTAATCTATGTATTTTATCAGCATATCTGCTACTTATGAAACGTACAAATGTAGTATATTCATGTTTTGTAGAAATGTATAATGATAACATTTATTCTGGGGAATAAAAGGGGTTAACTCATGCAGTGTTTTTTGCGCCCTAAAATTCATTGTTGTCGATGTAGACATGCGACAGGCGCACTCAAACACCAGAGCAACGGCAGAGCTGCGCACACAATTCCGAGCGCCTATTTTTCAGGACTGGACACTGAGATAAAGTTCAACCTCTGGAACGCAGCAGCATGCACCGCATGTTGTGAGGAGGACCAACCAATCACAGCCGACAGATACCTTTTCCTTCTTCCGTAAATATTAGTCTGGGGTAAATATCGAAAAGGTCATTTTGGTGAAGGGCTGACAGAGCGTTATATCTGTCCCACGGACGATAGGCCCACACACTTAAAAACAGTGCTTGGTGCTTGTTAAGGTTTCTTTGCAACCTCAGACGCAACCTGCCGCCACGCTTGAAAGCTTGCACAGAAAAAGGTACATAAGTCGTGTCCAGCGCCTGCCCTCGCATTTTCCAGGCGGTTAAAGACGCAACATGTGTACGGCCCCTAAGTTTACATTTCAGTGCGTTTTAGAACACTTAAATCTGAGGGGTCAGGAGATGAGGACACAAGTGTAGTAACATTGCTGGACTCATGATCTGCAGCTTTAGGGAAAAGGATCAAAATCGATGCAGCAGAACTGGAGATATCATTTGTCTTTTTAAATTCCTTATGTCAATAAATTGGTACCTACATTACCCACAATGCAACTCGACCACAAACAGTTTGATTGGAGGTTCGGGTGTGTTATGCTAGTAGCAGCTAATAGCCTTGAGCTGCTAGCCTCAAGCAGAGATGAAGAGTGGGCTACAGAGGTCTGGTAACCTCACATTTTTCTATGTCCAGTCCCCACATTTACACATGTACAGAAGTACTCCCCAACAAGCCGACAGTTAGCCTTGGGTTAACGTCGGGCCATGGGTGGGCATCTGTTGAACTAGTTTTTGCAGTGTATGCTGCACTGTTGGCACTAGTCAGCTCCTGTTAGCTGTTTATAGGCCAAGTTAGCATGTTATTGGCGTACGACCCAGCGTAGGCTGTCAGTGAGAAAAATCACTCTGATTGGCAGTTCAGCTCAGTGCACAAGAAGAGAAATGGAAGCGGGGAGATCAAACGACTTAAATCAAGAGGGCGTGAGATTGAAATTAAGTTATGTTTGGTAAGATTTTTTTTTTAGCCATTGAGCTCTTTTGCAGAAATGGTTCATACTTTTTTGTGTCATTGTGCTTAAATATCTTTGTCCTTTCAACATCAGGTTGTGCTGTTAATGTGCTACCTAGCTAACTAGCATTTTGAATCTGTCCTGTCAGTCTTCTGGTTTCCCTTTTTATTTAACGAATACAGACTACCGCCATCTGCTGGTGTGAAGAGTTATTTCCTCTTACACAGGCGCAGAATTTATGTGCTACTTTGTTGTTGGCTGTGGTCTTTGTGGTGTGTTCATGCACAACTTTTTGGCTAAAGCACAGGCAACTTGAGGTGATGCAACAGTTGGCCTTTGTCGCCACTAGTTCTTTGATGTGGCTTTGGTGTGCCTGGCCTTTAGGTGATGTAAATTGCCTTTTAATGTGTAAAATTTGCGGAGTTCCCCTTTAGGGAAAAAAAAAGATTTTCTTGTGAAATATACTGGATGGTTTTACTGCTTCAGGCTTTTAAAAATCCTTTGAATGATGCAATCTGGAAGGGAAAAAACACTCTTAGGTTGAACTGTCCGGCCTAATGCCATAACTTGATAGCATCTTTTAAAAGCCTAACCTTTTCTGAAATAGCTGCCTGCTGAGACAAGTAGTGACTTTACGGTAAGCCTGTAAATAAAGGAAGTAAAAATGGAGCAAAAACAGCCAAAGGGGTCAAAGTTAGTCACCTCTATTCTGGTCTCTCGCGCAGGGACTGAAGTCCGGCAGTGTGAGTGAGTAGAGGTTGAAGCACTAGGGCATGTAGATTAAGATGAGGATGAGGTCAGGGAGGAGAAGATGGAGAAAACAGACTTAAATGTCAGGAAGTGGGAAGTGAGCTGCTGGGAAGAGAGTGGGCTGTGCAACGATGGTTAATCCATTTTTAGGGTCCCTTTGCCTCACAGCCAGAGCCACAGTGATACTGTACACCCGACAGCCACTCACTTCACTTGACAATGAAGCCCAGTGTGTCCTGTCCTGAGAAAGTCATCAGTGCTTAGTCACGGCTCTGCAGCAGTGCCCAGACCTTCACGGATCTCATAAATGTCAAACAGGAAGTGTGAGAGGAGTGCGCGGCTGCTTTAACAGTAGCTGATCCCGTCATGGTTAATTCATTATTAAAGGCAGGAGAACAATCCTTTATTCCTGCCACACCATCTTCTGAGGGAAAGGAGCTCATGTGGCCAGAGCAGAAGGGATTGTGGGTAGTATGGCCCTTATTTAACGCCAGTTTTTCCCCTTACCACCCGGGGCCTGGCGTCTTGCCCGTGCCATTCTCTTGGTTCTTCTCTTCTATGGGCATTAGGCTCTGGACCAGTGGCCACCCTGGCCCTCAGCCCTGATCCCCTACCGGAGCTGATCACATGCTCCTGCAATGACCGCCACATTCCCAGCATGCATCAGCACCATGCCATCTATGTCTTAAGTCTGACCCCTCAAGTGGCAGACGCTCACAGGGGCACAGACACTGAAGTGTGGCGCTGGATCCACCAGCTGAGTCCTGTTTCTTGGAGACAGCGGCATCATTATTTTGTGTTGAGATGGAAAAAAAGGCTCATTTCCGTTTTAGGACACAATCTCTCCATCTCGTCTCCAAAACCAAAATATATGATGTCAGAGAAAAGCATGAAAATATGACTTCACATTAATGTCATGGTTTATTTTCCCATTTGTGTCATCAGGGTTTTTTCTCTCATATCCTTAACATGCCAATTAAGTCGTTGTGTTTTATCTGAATGTCTTTTTCTGTCTCTCCCACAGCACGATGGACGGCCCTACTGCCACAAACCGTGCTATGCTGCCCTCTTTGGGCCAAAAGGTGAAGTACATGTACATTTATTCAACATAAACTACCTCACATTGAGACTTTTACCTGATTATGTGAAGACAAAATAATTTTAGTTTTTTAGTTTGGAGGCCTAAAATTGAGTGATTCATAAATAAATAGATCAGTATTTGATTAATAAATAAAAGAACAGATCATTAATAATTAATTATAAGAAGAATTATTATAATAATAAATAAATGTGAACAGTTTATCTTAACACAAAATTACTTTTATTTTATGTATTTAGGTGTCTATATGTTAACTGACTGGTTCACTTGCGACTGATGCTAGCTGCAATATTTATATTTTGTGATTAATTACCAATATTTATTTATTTATTCATTCATTCTTTTATTTATGTAGATATTTATTATATCTTTTTAGCTCACATTTATTATTTTTAGCTAACATGTCCTCCTCTATTTTTGTATTTATGCTTATGTTTTTTACGTCCTCTCCTGTATCTTCTCAGGTGTGAACATCGGTGGAGCCGGCTCTTACGTGTACGATACTCCAGCCAACAACAACCCATCTCCCACTGGTGTGGATTCAGCACCCAAAGCTGAGGAGAAGCGAGTCTTCGCCCCCAAGCCACCATCCAAAGGTAAATGAGAAGGGTGTATTTAAACTGCATGTACTGTAAATCAGCATGTGTTGACTGGGGGAGGAAAAGCCAGTCGATAGGGGCGTTTGTCTCTTAAGATATTGGTGTGTGAGGTCAGAGGGAAAGCTGCTGCTGACTCAATGATAAGAACACTTACACGCAGTCTTCTGGGACTGGAGGAGGATTTTCTCAGAGGTGTCAGATAGGGTGTGTGTGTTCTGGGAAATCACTGTCAGCAGGAACAAAATCATTTTAACGGATGTTTTCTGTCGATTTATCTCTGCGGTGCAGTTTTCAGTTAGCGGCTGTTTTCCACCCACTTGGTTGCTGAAGCCAGAAAACTGAGCAGTGATGTAGGATGTTGTAATCTTTCTGGATCAAAACCTTTAAATGTGTCGGGGTTAAAATTTGGAATAGATTAACAGATGATGTGAGATCTTATGAATCTGAATCAGTTTTTAAAAAGCAGGTGTTAAAATTTTTTATTTAGTCAAATGGAAAGAGGAGACATGGGTCAACGTCAACTATTTTTGTACGAGTAATTTAATGCATAACTATGTATATACTGTAATTAAAGTTTTTCAGGTTTTGGCTCCACCTGCAGTTTCCATAACAACACTACATGTCCACTAAACATCCATCCACTCCTATAAACTGAGTGTTGAAAGAGGGAGTGAAGTGACTTGGCACCCAAAATATTTTAAATTGGCAAAATTAGCCTCTTTAGTATTCCCCCATGAAACACACAAAAACTGTTTAGTACTTGGCTCAATTTTAGTTTTACACCCCTACATTATTAGTGCACTGGATTTCACACCAGGCTAGAAAGATTAGTGGTCATTTATTTTATATTTTCACTTGCCTTTCTAGTATTATAATGTGTGTGTAATGTTTCTGCAGCTGGCAGCATCACCACCTTTTCCGGAGAGGCCAACCTGTGTCCCCGATGCAACAAGAAGGTGTATTTTGGTGAGTGGTTTTACACTTCCAGGAAACGAGGTGAAAGGGGCTAATGGTTGGAGTGAGAGGTGTGAACCTGTAAAGTGGTTGCCATGGTGTCTCACAGGTGTGTGTCTGTGTTTGTCACAATAGCCGAGAAGGTGACATCACTGGGTAAGGACTGGCATCGACCCTGTCTGCGCTGTGAGAGGTGCAGCAAGACTCTGGCTCCTGGCAGCCACGCAGAGGTGAGAAAAAGGAGGTGGAAAAATTGTGGGAAGAAGAAAAGACCAGTAGAAATAAATAGAACGACAGACTAATAAAGTCTAGTTTTACGATGCCTATAATGTTCAGCAGTAGAGGTGTTAAAGGAATACTTCACTCTCCAGATGACCATTTATATATCAGTTACTCACCCTGTGTTATGGTGAGTTTGTGACCCATCCTGGATGGGATGGGTCCTGGTGAATCTAAACCGAACCTTTAAAACTCCCAAATCACACAATAACACAAACTAACTGATCAGGGTAGAGGTAGACCAGCAGCTCCTGTATTTATCGATGTTTAATTACTGTTTTTGTAAATGGAGTCTGGCTTTGAAGAGAGTGTAGACTAAATTCACTTTGCTGTCAGGTCCCTGTTGTAAAGGGCTGTCAGTTTGGGAGATACTGAGCATAAGACTGGATATATATACAGTACAGGCCAAAAGTTT